TTTCACTTGAAAGCACTCTTAATCTGATAAGTCTGATAGCAACATCTATTGTTGTCACTGATTTCAGAAAAGACTTCATAATTATTGATAGAAAGCGCCTAATTGACCACATTTTTAAGAATGCTTTTTATAAGTTAGCGTTCAACCCTTGAATAAACTGGATAAAAGTTTTTTGAGTGCTCTTAATTCATTAATTAAATTTATTTAATTAATCTTAGTGAGATTTAAGTTGCATGTATCTACCAATAGATGGTGCCAGATAAAGTTAAAAAGAATGAATGAAAATTATTTATAATAGGACTTTCTGTAATAGGCTGTGGATAAAAAAGCAAGTTGATCCTGAATTAAAAACTTAGTGTGTTATATTCTGTTCCCATTTGAAAAGATGCAATAATATGAAGTCCTGTGAAATTGGAACATTTATGAAAACACTTCTACAATTATTTTTTATTCCTAGTACGTTGCAATTTTCTTTTATATAAAATTTTCAGTATTACGTACCAATGGATATTATTGTGTATGGAAATGGGACAGTTTATGTTCGCCACAAATCAACGATCCCATTACGATGAGAAAGAGCTTTCTGTTCAATGTAATAATGTTGCATCTAAATTTCAGATCGTAGGAAACAATGCATTCCTATCAACGGATAGGCATTCTTTTTATCGCTCGCTGCAATATATTCCCATTTAAAAAAGAACTGGACCTCGATTCGACAAAAGCTTTTATGAAAGAAATCCATTTAGAAGACGGGGACAGTTTGTGTCTTTCTCCCAACCTCTTCTGTGTGGAGAGAGAGAGAGAGAGAGCAATGCAATAAATTCGCAAATAAATAAAATGCAGTGTTTTTAAACGACTTTACCCCGCAAAAGAGTGTCGCAGACCCCCGTACCCAGCTGTCAGCCGAAGCACTTCCTCACAGCAATTTGCTGGAGTAACTGAGATGGCACGCCAGCCAATAAAGAACATTGCGGGGGTGGTCATGTTGCACACATGATGAATACTTCTGTTGCGCGGATTGGTTCCAGTTAATGCAAAATTTGATCTGCAGATAATCTTTTAAAGGGTTTGGTAAATGTAGGGTCGTAAAACTGCAGAACATCTGCCTGTCTTCAAATTTTTAAGATTATTTCATTTCCATTATGCACAAGGTCACTCCAAAAATCTAGGAATTTTTTTTAAAAAATTAGTTATTTGAAACCTTCTGAACATAGAAAGAGGTCCTTTTCAAAAGAAGGATGAATGCGGACAGGATATTTATTTTTGTGACCAACAGACGGCACATGACGTAGTAAATATGTCAGATAGATTAATGAAAAATAAATGGTCAACACGCTGTTCATCATTTATCAAAACAGTTGTCCGATGAGGGAGCAGACTGATGATCAATTGGGCTACTTCTCTGGCCTTTGGTACCACAGACTTCAGGTTCGAATCCTGGCGGTGGTAGGGAGGCTTGTTAGTGTTTCGGAATCCACGTTAAACCGCAGGTCGCCGTTTAATTAGCATAAAGTGGGCACACAATGATTTGGGGTCCATGGATGTATGTGGTGGTTTGGAATCAACTTTAAACCATAGGTCCCAGTCTAAAATCACAGTAGAGCGTTGGCGTCTCCTTTTTAGATATCTGCCAGAAGGCAGACTGCCTTGGGCTAATATGGAGCTGTTGCGCCACTGATAATGATATATATATATATATATATATAAAATCTGCAAAATGAAATGAAAACCAACTTCACTGTGAAGGTTTGGTTTGTCGCTCTATTGTCATTTCAGTGCACACTTTTAGTCTAAAACAGACCAGGACCTACAATTTAACGTAGATTTCGAACCATTCACAAACATCCATGTCAACGCCAGGATTCTCGAACCTGTGGTACCAAAGGCCACCACAAAAGCATTAGCCACCTCACCGTGAAGGAGCTGGAAACTTGTAGAAATTTGTAGATGTCATGCTTACTTTAAAAAAAAATTCCTTCCATTAGGAAAAAGGATGTCCTTCCATGTCATACTTCCGTAATACTAGTCTTGAAAATAAATGTCCTTTCATATCAAAACTGCTTTTCAGTTAACAGTTAATGCTAAAGAGTTAATGTCTTCCCTTAACCACAAAAATGTTTAATTGACTAGTTTCCGAAATTAGGATTAAGGTGGACATCAAACAAAAATGCTCGATTAGTTTTGAACATAAATTAAATCAGAATACGGCTACAGATAAAAAATTAACTTTCGAATTGAACATCTTAAACTGCAACTGTAGCTTCATGCTCAGCTAGTGACACGCCGATGTCTTTCGTGGGACTCTCTCCATTGCGTGATAGTTATATTTGAAATATTTAGCGATTATAATTTTTTAAATCAAATTCAAGAAATATTTTAAATAGGTGAATTGATCCAGTTTCTGTTCATTAAAAAAATACACTTTTAATATTAGAAATTACGTTCTATTTTTTTTCTACTGTGTTACATACTATGAGATCAATCTTTTAGCTATAACGCGATAACCTGAAGGATATATAACCAATATATATATATATATATATATATTTAATTCAACAATGATTATTGGCTAAAACATGGTCCGTATTAAAAAATCCGCTCACCAGTAAACGTGACCTATATTGGCAACTTGAAGGCAGGGTTATATATACATATATATATATATATATATATATATATATATATAGTTCTAATGCAGCTGGCAAACACTTAGACAGCTTGGTCTTATATGCCTTAAAGCAAGCGCTGCACAGATGTTACTCACTTTGCATTACCCAGGAGGCGCGTGTAACTTGAAGATAAGCCACGGATGCGGAGTAACAATGCCCCCGCAACGCTCTACGATCCTATTAGGAGCGGCACCTACGGTTTAAAGTGGATTCCGAACCACTACAAACATCCATGGCACCGCCGGGACTCGAACCCGAAACCTCTGGTACCGAGCGCCACCCACTCGGCCATTCAGGCTCCATATATATATATATATATATATAATTAACGACAATTCAATTATGTATGACAGTAATTCAACAATGATTTTAGCCAAATAAATGGTTCATATTAAAAATACTTTACAACAGTATAGAGGACATATAATGTATAGCCCGATGGTAGGGCCAATATACATATTTTTAATTCTCAACAATTATTATTGCCAAAAACAGGGTCCATATTAAAATTGAGCTCAACAGTGTACATACCATTGCCACTATATAATAAATTAAAATCCCCATGTCTGGTTCCTTATGTATTTGTAAACAAGACATATTTTTCAAAAAAAATATATTTAGGTACCCTTTTCCAAAATAAATAAAAGTCTATTAATAAAAAAACATTTGACTTTCGCGTTTAGTTTTTTAAAAAAGAAAATCGAATTAAAAATAGTAAATTGGTTAATGTAATTTGAAATATAAAGTTTTTTATAATACATTATTTATTTAAATATAAATAAAGTAATTTTGATAGTATGCATATCCCAGAACTACAGTATGCAAAATAAGTGGGTTTTTTATGGAATTCATTCTATTTTACTTATAGTGGTGGGTGCGTAATTATTTTGACAATGGCAGTAAAATGTGTTCATTTAATCATTTGAAATATTAAAGCAAAATTGCAATGAAAGCTAAACTACTATCAAAACAAAACTGATTTATTAAAAACGAAAAGATATTGTTTTATGCTTCCAACTGGCGAAATTATGTGCGAGTTTTTTAAACCAATTTTCTTGCTTATATTTGTTCTCTTTTCATTCCTACGAGAAATAATTTTACTGAGACGTTCTTTTGAAGATATGCTGTTGAGTTGATATTGAAAATCCTCTTTATTGAGTATTAATTTTACAAAAGGTGATTTGTTTTGGAGGGTGGAGGATTCAAAGTTGCAATTTTATGCAAACTTCTATTTGAAGTTCTCGTAAGAAATGATTAAGATGTTAAAAAAAATGAAGAAATGATTTATTTATATTATATAGGCCCATTGACCTATTTTTTATATAATTGTTTGTTTTCAAATTCATCTTTTTCCTTCATCACTTATGTTTGCCCTTAAAAGTTTCAAGTAGAATTTTCTTTAATCATTAGAATAGAGTAACAACATTAAAAATTGACAAATAAAAGTGATACCATACTAACAAAAAGATGAATTAAATTCTGAGAAAGAAATGATTATCGACAACTACAAGAAATGATTTATTTAAATACATAGTCCAGTCACATTAATGTGACCACCACCTAATTTCAACATCATCTTGAAATAACCCATCACAAAAGGCAGGTGGCGGCATATTGCAGTGAGAGTGTATATAAAGGAATTCCACTTAATACCACTTAATACCACTTAAATACCACTTAATACCACATTCCACACTCCATCGAAAGCCAAAAATATACAAGAGTGTATATTCTGGCTTTTGACAGGTGGTCACATTAATGTGACTGGAATGTGTATATACGATTAACTAATTTCTATGCTTAATTGAAAATATGTTAATTAACTAATTTAAAATTATTGGTTTATTCATTATTTGTTTGATTCTTTATTCTTACGTGTATGAAATATGTTTTTTTCCCGGAATTTTTTCTTTTTTTTTTCTCGATTTGTTTCACTTCTTAGCATGTTGATAAAGTTGTATTTTTGCCTACATTTAAGATAAATTATGCTGTAATATATAGTTTCCAATACTATATATATATATATATATATATATATATATATATATATATATATATATATATATATATATATATATATATACAGTCCTGTCACATTAATGTGACCATCTGTCAAAAGCCAGAATATACATTCTTGTATATTTTGGCTTCAAGTGGAGTGTAGAATGTGGCATTGAGTGCTATTTAAGTGGTATTAAGTGGAATTCTTTATATACACTCCACTGCAATGTGTTTCCACCTGCCTTTTGTGATTGGTTATTTCACGTTGACGTCGAAAGTAGGTGGTGGTCACATTAATGTGACAGGACTGTGCAATATAAGTTCACTTGAATACTATGTTAAATATACCGGTTCTCGTTAGATCTACCGAAGTCAAGCATTATTGGGCGCGGTCAGTACTTGGGTGGGTGACCCCTGGGAACCGCGTGTGCCGTTGGCATTCACAAATTTGGGGACCTGAATGGCCGAGTGTCTAGCGCCTGGCGCACGGGTACCACAGGTTTCGGGTTCGTATCCCGGTGGTGCCATGGATGTTTATAGTGGTTCAGAATCCACTTTTAAGCCGTAGGTCCCGGTTCTTATGACTGTAAGAGCGTCACGAGCAGAAGTCAGACTTCTACCTACGTGTGCTCCATCAGAATAAGAAGCTGCACCCTCTCACCTCCTTCCGTGAGGGGCACGACAACAACAACAAGTTACTTTATATAATTGTTTCAAAATTCATCTTTTCTTTTTTGATTTATGTTTTTCTTTAATAGTTCCAAATAATATTTTCTTTAATGATTAGAATAGAGTAAGAACATTAAAAATGATACCCTACTAACAAAAAAATTAGAAATAATTCTTTAAAACTTTAAGTAAATATAATATATTACTCAATATATTTCCCTAAGTAATTTTCGAAATAAAAAAACTGTTAATAAAAATGTCTCAAATAGTCATTTATATTGTTAAAAATAATTCATTCCTCTTTTTTTAGTTTTTAACAATGGATCACTTTTTTATGTAAAAAAAAAATAATTTTCGTATCCTAGTAGGGTATTGATTAATACTACACATGAAAAATTTAAAGAAAAAACTTTGCATAAATAAGGAGTAATTCGCACACTTTTTTACGTGTAAATGAGATTTTAATGACCATTAATTTAAGATTTCGCTTGATGAAGGTGTTTTTCTTTTTTTTCTATCTAGGAAGGAAAAAAAATTACTAGAAACGTGTTAAGAATTATTTAAAAACATAAAGAATTCTTCATTAATTAAAGTAAAGGTTTTTGAGATGTATTGATTTTTGATTTAGATATTTGAAGAAATTACTCTCAAAGTAAGTAGATTATCTGAGGAATATAGTCTGCCTTAGAGTTTGGAAATTTTATTGTGTTTAAAATTTATGATGGTCCTATCTTATATTTTATGGCATAATATATAAATGATAAATATAAAAAGATAAAAATATATATGATAATTTAAATTACAACTTTCTCACGTCATAGCATTTTGTATTTTCTAGTAAAAAAAAAGTAAAATTGTTTTATGTAATTATTGTGTTTATTTACTAGTAAACTAAATTCAATGTAGAAGTATGAAAAAAAAAACATACTTACAGAAGTCAAATTTTATTTGTTTTGTGCATCCATTATTTATTTATTTATTATTTTAATTTTTCTACTTGGACTTTTAACACGTTACATATGAATCATTTGAATTATGGTTCCTTTATGGTACGTTTAGGCACTTACAGTCGATATGAATCTCTCACAGTCTCCTCAAAATCTACTTTTTTTTTTTTCAAAACAGTCCCGTTTGAGCATGTTATAAAAAGTGGGCTAAAACGTTCATAGGCTGACATACAGATGACGCTACTAGTATTAAATCTATATGAGTTTTAGTTAGCCCTAACCTTCAAAATACACGTGTATAAATTTGACAGCTGACACTATTAGTATGTGAGTTATATCATTTTTAGTGAAGCAACTTTTGTTAGTTTGAAAAAATGGATAAAAAGGAATTTCGTGTGTTAATAAAGCATTGCTTTTTGGCGAAAAAAAATACTATTGAAGCCAAGGCTTGGCTTGATAAACATTATTCGGACTTTGCACCAGGAAAATCAACCGTAGAGAAGTGGTTTGCTAAATTTAAACGAGGCGAAATGAGCACCGAGGTCGATGCACGCAGTGGACGCCCCAAAGAGTCTGTTACCGACGAAAATATAAAAAAAGTCCACAAAATAATTTCTCATAACCGTAAAGTGAGATGGATTGAGACCCTAAAGATATCAAAGGAACGTGTTGGACATATCGTGAATGAATATTTGGATATGCGAAAGCTCTGTTCAAAGTGGGTGCCGCGCGAGCTCACAATCGACCCAAAACAACAACGAATTGATGATTCTAAGCAGTGTTTGGAGCTGTTCAATCGCAATAAACCCGAATTTTTACATCGATATGTGACAATGGAAGAAACATGGCTCCGTCATTTCACACCGGAGTCCAATGGACAGTCAGCCGAGTGAACTGCACGTGATGAATACTAAAAATGCTATAACTCACATAGTAATAGTGCAACTGCTGTCAAATTTATACACGTGTCTTTTGAAGGTCAGGGCTAACTAAAAATTGTATGCATTTTATACTAGTAGCTAAATCTATGTGTCAGCTTACGAACTGTTCAGCCCACCTGCTAAACAATTCGCCTCTTTTACTTTCATGTTAACTGACGTGCTCTGAGAATAGCCAAAAGTGGGGTTTTTTCTGGAGTTTTATATCTGTAAGCCTTTCGTGTCAATTCTGTATTAAGGTACCCATAAAGTCTGTTTACAATTTCAAATATTTCAAAGACAAATAGGAAAAGTAAAGAAAGGTAAATTTAAATTATCACAAAGGTAGGCGTATATATTTAAACATTTTTTTTCTTACGTGGTTTTATTTAATTTAATTTCAATTAATTTAATTTAATTGCGAATTGTATTTATTATAATTTGAGCCCCATCAGTTGAACAAAGCACATTGAAATGGCACTCGATTTCTTTGCATGTTCTCTGTGAATACCTTCATCTATGGTGTAAATGCCATCACCGATGCTCTACTTTAGATGAGTCACATCCACCTTTGTTCACTGTGACTCATATAACCATGTATTCGTTATCAGTCATTCGTACAGTAATTCGCGAACTGTATAAATATATATATATATATACACTGAAGTGACAAAAGTCATGGGATACCTCTTAATATCGTGTCGGCCCTCCTTTCGCCCGGCGAAGTGCAGCAACTCGACGTGGCATGGACTCAACAAGTCGTTGGAAGTCTTCTGCAGGAATATTGAGCCATGCTGTCTCGATAGACGTCCATAATTGTGAAAGCGTTGATGGTGCAGGATTTTGGGCACGGACAGACCTCTCGATGATGTCCCATAAATGCTCGATGGGATTCATGTCGGGCGATCTAGGTGGCTAGATCATTCGTTGGAATTGTCCAGAATGTTCTTCAAACCAATCGCGAACAGTTGTGGCCCGGTGACATGGCGCATTGTCATCCATAAAAATCCCATCGTTGTTTGGGTACATGAAGTCCATGAATGGCTGCAAAAGTGATCTCCAAGTAGCTGAACATAAGCATTTCCAGTCAATGTTCGGTCCAGTCGCACCAGAGGACCAAGTCCATGCCATGAAAAACAGCCCACACCATTACGGAGCCACCACCAGCTTGAACAGTGCCTTGCTGACAGTTTTTGTCCATGGCTTCGTGGGGTCTGCGCCACACTCGAACCCTACCATCAGCTCTTACCAACTGAAATCGTGACTCATCGGACCAGGCCACGGTTTTCCATTCATCTAGGGACCAACCGATATGCTCACGTGGCCACGAGAGTCGCTGCAAGCGATGTCGTTCTGTCAGTAAAGGCACTCGAGTCGGTCTACTGCTGGAATAGCCCAAGAAAGCCAAATTTCTCCGCACAGTTCTAACAGACAAATCCCTTGTACGTCCCACATTGATTTCTGCGGTTATTTGACGCAGTGTTGCTTGTCTGTTAGAATTTACGACTCTTTGCAGACGTCGCCGGTCTCGGTCGTTAAGTGCAGGCGGTCGACCACTGCGCTGTCCATGGTGGGATGTTATGCCTGAAATTTCTTCATACTCGGCACACTCTTGACACAGTGGATCTGGGAATGTTGAATTCCCGATTTCGAACGATTTTCCGAAATGGCATTGCGTCTAGCTCCAACTAACATTCCGCGTTCAAAGTCTGTTAATTCCCGTCGTGCGGTCATCATCACGTCAAAACTTCTTCACATGAATAACTTGAACAGAAATGAAAGCTCTGCGAAAGCATTGCGCATTTATACCTGTTCTACGCGATGCTACTGCCATTTGAAAATTTGCATATTGCTAACACATGGTTTTTGTCACTTCAGTGTATATATGTGTGTGTGCGTATTCTTGTATTGCATTCAGATTCATCACTAGATATATTCATATATTTTTCCCTCAAAATACTATCTCTGTTATATGGAGAACTTATTATTTTTTTGTATGAAGTCTGCATTAATAAAAATTATTTTTTAATCACATCTTACAATCCTTAGCAGAAATCCATTTTTATTTTTCAACTAGCATTTCCTATATTAATAGATTAATTTTGACTTTTGATACAGTAAGAAGAAAGAAAGTTATCTTTCATCACATCGATCTATTCAATATCAAAACATGAATGCACGTCTTTTGTTGAGACAAAACACTACATGAGCTCATTAGTTTACTTAAATTACACATATATACAGAAAAAAAAAAAGAATTTGAAGACAGCGAACGCCTTTGTGAACAATAATAACGAATTCTTGGTGAAAAACTCTTCCTTTTTTTTGCTTTGTATCCTTTTAAGTCTTGAACAAACTGGAAATAAAGCCACCTTCATCATTAAGCTTTTTGACTCATCATATCATGAATGAGGAGAGTAAAAAAAATCACAAAGTCCTAAAATGCTCATTATGTGTTTTTATCCAGGAGACTGGTTCCACTTTTGTCAGTGATTTTTTGATGAGTGTTTGTGGGGCACGGTTGAAGTTTATGAAGAGCTTATTAAATGCTTCTCCAGCAGTGTTAATTAGTAGAAATACTTTATTTTGATTTTTGGTAAACCTGTTAATTAATCCGCCTTTCACATGCAATAAAATGGATGGCCGTTTTTTATTTTTTCTGTTCGACATCTTAAAGTGAAGCCGTCTAGCACGCAACAAAAGCACACAAAATGAAAATATTTGTTCAGTTTTTTGACGCGCGAAGCTAATTAGTTTTCGTTTTGACTGTTAAACAAAAAGTTTCGTCAGCAATTTCTCCTTTTTTATAAACAAAAACAATTTAATTTAGGGGGAAAACTCTTCTTTATAAAGGATTTGTGTATGCTTCGAGTAGTATATATTTTATTTATATTTATCGATT